TGCCACTGCTGCCAGTGATACGTGATGGCAGCTGACTTCAAGTGAAACCTGCTGGCCAACTTCCACCAAGTATTCTGAAGTTGCATTCAGAGCTCGCTGCAATATTTTATTTATTTATTTATTTACAGGTTACTGCTAGCCTGGGTGCCAGGCTTTGAGCAGGTGTGGGCGATACAAAAGAAGAAAACAGGATAACATACAAGCATAACAATACACTTCTAAGGGTACACTTTGAACCAGAAAAAAAAATCATGCCGAATTCAACAGGGCACGAAGAAAGGATGAGACATCAGAACATTGCACAACATTAGCAGGTAACAGATTCCACTCATGGCACGTACGGGGAAAAAAGGAGTTTTTGAAGACGTTTGTTTTACACGAAAATTCAGCGACTTTCATTGGGCGATTGGATCGTGTTGGGCGGCAAATGCTCGGCTGGATGTATGCTTCCTTGTTAATTTGAAGTCTATCGTTATACATCAAGTAAAAAAATTTTAGCCGATCATGATAACGTCTTACCGCAAGGCTTTCCAAACCGGCCCTGCGGAGAAGACTCGTAGGAGACGTTTTCCAGCTGTATGAACTGTAAACAAATCGCGCGGCTTTTCTTTGTATGCTCTCAAGCTTATTGGTATTAACTAGAGTGTATGGGTCCCAGATAATTGAAGCATATTCTAATAGTGGTCTGATGTAAGTTTTGTAAGCTAGCAGTTTGGTATCCTGAGAAGCTTTCGGTAACATTCTCCTTAAGTATCCCAGTTTTCGCATTGCCTTTTTCTGAATGTACGTGACGTGCTCGTTCCATTTCAGATCGGATGTGATTAAAACTTCCTAAATATTTGAAGGATGATACTTCAGCTAGACTATGATTGTTTATTTACCACGAAGACATGGACCACGAAGACATGCCACGAAGACATGGACCATGGTGTGACGGACCACTGACCCAGAGTGAGATGTCATTAGCATAAATCGCTATGCCTATAGGAAAGTCACATTCTTGCGGCAGTCGGCCTGGAAGTCCAGCAAGTACGCTGTTAAAGAGAAGCGGTGACAAGACGCTGCCTTGCGGGACGCCACATTTAACAGCGCGAGGTTGACTCTGTACTTCTCCAACGCGTACTTTCATTCTGCGCACAGATAGAAAATCACGGAGAAAGTGTAACAGATGACCTGAAATTCCTCCATACATCAGTGCACAAATAATCGCCTTATGTGGCACCGAGTCAAACACTTGCTGTATGTCAAGAAATAAAACATACGCTGAATGTCTGTTTGCTCGAGCAGATTCAAGCGATGACACAAGATCTGCTATGCTGTCGAGGGCTGAACAGTGGTGAAGAAATCCGCTCATGACATCAGGAAAGAAAGTGAGCTCCTTTGTAGAGTAAAAAATTCTCGTTGTCGTAACGGTTTCTTTCAACATGACTGCTGAAAGCAATATGTGAAATTCTCTCCGCCGAATGGTTTCGACAACACCAACACTGTGTCACTCACCACGCTTATCTGGGTGCGGAGAACATTTTGCTCTAAAACTTGTTCAAAAGCAAATTGCTTGCAGTGTGCTGCCATCTGTCAACAAACTCACAAAAATAAGCTTTACAGCGTTGGCCATGTTTTCAAGAGCAAATCGCGAGCCCGCGCGACTTCCGGCGTACAATGAATTTTATGGGATTTATGCTTTACAAAAGCACTGACGAACGCTATGCGCATGTACAATGTGGTGCTTTTCAGCTTCAAAGGTTAGACGATAACATTTAACTATGTGGCTACATAAAATATTGCGACGCTGATATATGTGCACTATTTGAAAGCGCGAGTCACCCTATTTTTCACTTTACGAAAACTTCACGTCTCGCATGAACGAATCAGGTTTATTGTCTCACAAATGGTCCGGTTTATTATATGCGAAACAGCTCTTTGACTAGCCTGTGTAATGCTGTTCCTCCGTACATCCATACGAACGCACTCCCCTCACCGCAGGTGTTGGAGCGGTGCTGAGTAGGTCATGCGGCCGCTGCGCATTTATGTCAAGCTCGTCTCGTAGTAGACGCTGGCGTCACACCCTCCCTCTGCAGCGCTTGTTGCAGTGCCCGCAGTGGCCTCCTCATCCCTTCGCCCACAACACCTGCCGCTACCGCGACTACTGCTCGCTACACTGCTGACTCCTCTGTTCACACGCAATAAACCTGACACGCGCCTAGTGTACACATTGAAACGTGTCTGTATGTGTCAGCTCTCTCGCTTCACGCTCTCTACCGCTCAAAATGCGTGAGCGCACATCAAGTAATCACACTCTTTTGGCTCATTTGTCTGCTATGGAGAAAACACCGAAAGACAATGCTCCTTCGCCCACCAAAACATACACCTCTCAGCATGCACTTCACCAATTAGAAGCCGTGGTAGTCGAGGCCAAATGCGCGCCAGCTCCGGTCCAGCGCCCGTGCCCACTCCAAAGAAATGGCAAGACCTACACCAGCCATCATTTCAAACGAATCTTCCAACGCTCACCACAGCACCTGCACTAGTGCCGTTCAAACCGTGACGCCACCCCTGCGCAACGCTGCTGCTTCACATCCTTTCGGGGTTCTCTCTTTGGGAAGATGGTGTGAATTTTTCACTGATGCACAAAACGTGCGAAGTGGTTAGTGTTCGTTTCTTGCAAACGTGTTAACACTGAGTCTTGCGCAGTCCAACTAGGACACTATAACAAGGGAGCAACTACCTACTAACCATCCTCGACAGGGCGCTCCCGAATTCCACTTTGCGGTTCAACAGTCTATGGGCATTGGGAATACTTAAATGATTGCCCATCTTTCATGTGTTCAAGCTTACAAATAATCACTGAATAATTTTTCTATAGAAAGAGGTTTATTGGGTCAGAAAATGGCTCACACCATGACAGCCTTTGTCTTCCCAAATAATGAGCAGTCATTGGCAGGAAACTGGTGGCAGAACAATTTTTTAGCAGTGCATGTTCGTACCCCTGCTTCATACATGTTCTTTTGCCACTGTAGCAGTGAAATGCGTTATCATATGACCAGTCACAGAAATTCTAATCTATGAGGCCTTCATTGCATCAGAACATTCATAGACGCTCGCGGCAACACCAAGCAGGGCTCAAAGCACGTCTAAATCGCATCACTAGGGCTTATTGACAGCGCTGTATATGACCATGAAGTGCGCGGCCACGGAGACCATGCAGCCGGCGCGTGATGAGTTTGGTGACAGAGTTTGGCAACGATGCGTGGAATGTGCAGCAACAATGACTAGAAATTAGTGTGTGCTGCACTTGGTATCGCATTTTCGAGTGCCAACGTGCGAAACTGCTAGCTGCTGTTTTGAGCAGTCCTTGGCAGTGGGGTCTGACAAGCTCGACTGCGGAGTCCGCTGCTGAGGCGTGAAATGCCCATCTGCAATTCCGAGGAGTCAGCGATAGATGTGCTTCATTGCTTGTGAAAAACCACGATGCCTCGAGTGCGCTATCATGTTGTTCTAGCCCGCAAAGTTTGGAGTTCGTCTCGCCGTCCACAGACCTAAAGACGACTATGAAGGCACGCCGCACAGTCTACGAGCGTGGCGCACCACAGTAATCTGATCGAGCATCTTCTTAAAGCTCTTTATTAAAGTGTAATTATATCCCAAGTGACTGTCGACCCGTGAACACATCACGAAGTAGCGATTTTCGACAGCTGTGTCTTCGCGATGCATAAGCACCAGATGACGATCTACTTGAGTGAGCATCGGACCAATGGCGAGGCGAGCTGAGGCGACATGCCGAATGCGGCCAATCGAAGGCCTTGTAATGTCCTTCAAGTATTAGCCTTTTGTGCGGTTTTTCTGAATGGAGGAGCCAGCTGGAGCGAAAAATTTGAAAGCAGAGAAACGCTCTTTCCAATGAGCCCAAAAAGCCGGCTCTCGGCCGTGCCACCGCGAAGCTATGATGTTTTGTTATGATTTTTATTATAATTTTCGCCACCTAGGAGGGCAAAACAAATTTTTTGAAGCACTTCTGCGTGGTTTTTAGTGTAGATACTTTGGACTCAAATAGAAAAAAGGGTTCCAGAATCTGAAAACTTAATTTTCAAAAATTGATTTTTTCGCTATTTTTTGTGGTACAAAAGTTGCGTCCCCCTTAATGCAATATTGAAATTGCATATCAACAATGGGAAATGAGCTCAATGGGAGAGATTTCCACCAACGAGTCGTTGCAGAAGCTAAACACTGAGACAGGTCATGGTCACTATGCATCACTTCACTTTACCACTTCACCAAGAGCAATACGAGAGGAAAGTGTGGTATAGAAGAGGCGTATTTCAAAGGCGCAGTCAATAGCGTGACTGGCATCAGTGGTGGCAGACTGAGAGGTTGTGGGTTCGACTCCCGTTGGCAGAAATTTGCCATGCGATCATGTGCTTTTTTCTACATCATTTCCGTGCATGGATATATGTGTCTAAGGTCATTGTGGATCCCAGCATACAAGACTTTCGTGTTAAAAAGCTTGGTGCATGTGGTAGGAGCATGCAGGTTAGCTGCAAGAATCAATGAAGTAAGCAGAGTTGCATGTCACACGCAAAGAAATGTGCAATTTGAACGAGCCTATAAACTGTGCCGTTTTAATGAGAAAAGGCAACTGGCGACGTTGCCATTACAGGAAGAACAGCTCTACCGCTTAGTGCTTTGTAGTGGGCTAGTTGGTATTGATGTATACTGAAATTAAAAACAGTGCAAACATCCTTCATCTGTGACTTTTTGCGCTTCTTTTCGTTTCGATAAAGTATGCCAGCCCCCATTTTTTCTTCCATCCAAGAAACCAAGCTATGGGAATAGAATTTTCGCACTACATTATGAATTGTTCAAAATTGGTTCATGTGTACCCAAGAGTAGGAGGTTTCTGTAAGCTTGTTTCCGTGCTGAAACTAGCTTTGTTGTTACTGTTAATATTTCTTGAGTTGTGGTGCTCCATGTCTCGGCCTCTCAAACCAACCATAACTTTCCAGGTGCCAAGACCCGTATTTGCGGCGAGCGAGTCGACGCTTGACACGTTCCCAGCTACAGGCTTGCCTCTCAAATGTGGCAGCCCTGCACTCGGAGTTCTGGGTATGAGTCTTGTCTGGCTTGGGTTCAGGCTCAGCCATTCAGTTTTTATCCATTTCCTGCACAGTCGGAATTTGAGGTGCTAGGATAGATGAGAGAGTGAAGACTGGAAGAAACGTCCACACACTTTAGTGGTTAAGTTAGGTAGGCAGCATCAGCATGATGTAGTATTGCACTTCATTATTTAAATAAATAAAAGTGATATGCACTGCAGGCCTATTGAAAACAAAGTGAATTTTATGCGATTGTAGGTATGTTTCGTTAGCATCCCATAGGTTTCACGGTTAACAAATAAGTCAACTTATACAAACTGCTTCATTGTTTAGACAAACTTTGATGATGACCATAAACATAGAGCCTCTTTGATTTATAGATTTGAGGGAGACAGCTGGATTCAGCCCCAATGGGTAATGACATCTTGGTAACCTCTACTGGGATGGCAAGAAATTGTAAAGAGCTACATCTATGAATATTGAATCTTGAATTTTTTGTGCAAGCAGGCATAGAAAAAGAGGAGAAACACACGAATGGGCACAATCTAACAACTGCTTTAGTCTTTTTTTTTTTAAGCCTTCACATAAAAACCTCAGATTTGCACAATCTGGTCGAAAAAATTATGAACACGTGCATCGTGTTCTCTTGTGTGTATCTCAGAAACTCATGTGTGTTCTCAGAGAACACTTACATGAGTTTCTGAGATAAAACATACATCCAGGCAAAGAGAGTTTGCCTTGGGTTAAAGGTAGCCTTAATCCTTAGCGACATATTCATGGGCAGCATAGATTGAGACTTAGCAAGGTGCTTAGATGTAGTCGGCAGAATCTACATATATGTAGATGACTACTTATTTTTAGGGTGTGATGTTCACAAGGAGGACTTCAGAAAAATCGAGTTATAGCCTTTTAATTTTTTAGGCAAGAAATGTTTACTTTTCAAATACCCTTGGAAAAGAAGCTGCAATTTTCAATTGGAAGCTATATTTTTTTGGGAGACCACATGTGTGGGACCTTTCCGCCTCGGGCTCAGAAGCTGCTCGTGAATTCTGCTTCAGATCATTCTAAGCATGTCAAGTGGCATTATCACAAATTTCTTTCAGGCAGCACTACTATAATCTTGTATTCACACTGCATATAGCATGTTCAAAAACAAATTGTTTGGCTGGAGGCCACAGGGTACCCGTTGTCTGTGATGCTGGCCATAGGCATTAGGCTAATAAAGAAGTTTGGACAGGAAAAAAGGATGGACAGATTGATTCTAGCTCGAAAGTGGTAGCAATTCCTTATGCGCACGGGCTATCTCATAAAATAAAAGCGTAGCTGGAAGTTACAATTTTAAGGTTGGGGCTGGAAGTTACAATTTTAAGGTTGTGTTTTCGGCCGAAAACAAAATCAGAGAGGTGTGTGTGTTGGTTAATCGGCAATGTGACAAAGACTAGCATTAAACACAAGCTCCAGTTTGTTAAATGTGCGAACAATGTAGGGTAAGTATTCTTTTGTCGTGTGGTCATGGGCACGTTGGGAAAACTGGCAGATGACGAGGCTAAGGAAACATATATCATGTCTGAGAGGTCGCCCTATGCTGCATTGTAATGTGTTATAGGCAGGCCTAATTTCAATAGTGCCATTGTCAATTATAAGCATTGCAACCAAAATTTGAGAGAGATAGCAGAAGTGTTTTACACTGACAGGGTGAAAGAAAAGTGTGTTAGCCACCCATCTTGCTTGAAAAAAGGATTTCATTCTTCTGTTCCTTCAGCATGTAGTCACAAGTTGTGCCATGTGCGTTGTTCATAAGTTTTTCGACCAGATCCTGCAGATCTGAGGGTTTTGAAGTGAATGTTTTAAAAAAGTAAAACAACTGTTAGATTGTACCTGTGCATATATTTCTCCTCTTTGTCTCTGTATGCTTGCACAAAAACTTTCCAACTAGGCTGAATTGCAGGTGTGCATGAATAGCGCTAGTGTTGGATGTGTTTGTGATACACTTATGTCCAGCTATGCCAATTTCAGTTCATACGAATATGAGACTGTCCAGACGTAGGTGGTATATGGGTCGAACGAAAGAAAGAAGAAGAGACACCTGAAGTGCCTTCACATCACTTTTTTTCTCCCTTTTTTTTAACTGATGGACTTTTAGTTTTTTTATAAGACCACCCATTTATTCCTTTCAATTATTAGTTATTTACCTACTTTGTTCGTAAGTCACCTTATGATTATCTACTGTTACATTTCCTAGATGACTGAAGAATTATTTTTTCTTCTTTAAAATTTAAAAATTCGTTTTGCCCATTACAATAACCGCTGGTTTAATGGCCGATCCCCCATAGTAGGTATGAGTCAAAGTATATAGGAACAAGCAAGCAAGGACCTCACATTATAAACCTAGTTGCCTGTGTGCAGACTATGAATCTTTGTCATTGAAGGCGCGTGAAATCTGCTGTCCTTAATTGAATGTTCACTGGAAGGATAGCACTGATTGCAACGTCAGTTTTGTCGTTGCATGCACACAGGACATCCCGATGAATCACCCAGAGAGGGCTGAAATCGCTGGTTGTGGGGCCAAGAACAGGTACAGGAGCATACTGCCAAGTGAGTCTGGTTCTTCCCTTGCAGTGTCCTTGTTGTTTCAGTCCCAACAAACAGTCAATGCCAATATGCCTGCACTGCGAAGCATTTCTTTGCAGAACAACTGTACTTTGACTTGGCTGCGTGTCTCTGTCCCCCCTGGGCACTTTCTTGGTCATCTCGTGAAACACCAAAATCAGCATGAGAAGATATTAGTGTACGACAAACATGAATGAAGAGACACTACAAAGCAAAAAAATTTTTCACGTATTAGTGAAGAACAATTTCACAATCCTAAAAACACCATCCCTACCGTGACACAGTACTTGGTGAGGGAGAAAACGCTCTGGGAAAAAAATACTCATTGATTGATTTGTGGGGTTTGACGTCCCAAAACCACCATATGATTATGAGAGATGCTGTAGTGGAAGGCTGCGGAAATTTTGACCACCTGGGGGTTCTTTAACGTGCACCAAAGAAAAAAATTGGCCCCGTATCTGCATTTAATCTGCAAATGTCGTCGAAAGATGATAGTCTTGCGTGTGGAGAGAGTGAACAAAACATTTATTTGATGTTCTACGCAAGAAAATCTGTGAATGATATTCTGGAGGCACTGCAGAGTGCTTTGAGCGTGCAGCGGAGGCAAATGAACGCATCAAGTCGCGTCACACATGAGACATGAGCGCCATCTGGCAGTTTTCTGCGAAAACAAAGCGCCTGGCTCTGTGACGGGTGTGTGCGCCCGTCTCAGAGGCGATAAGGTGTAGAACGCAAGGCGGCGGGTAGGTGCCACCGTTGTCTCGTTTTAGCAAAGCGTTGGAAACACTCTCCTTTTCGTGCAAGCGTTGAATAGTCAGCGCAGCGTGATAAGCGCTATGGTCCTTAAAATTACTTATGTATGCCTTTTCTAGTAAATGGCACACATGCAGAATATATACGTGTTTTTATGGTGCCCCAGACATGCGCAATATGTGCTTTTTAATCGACAATTGCACAAGTATGAACGCTGAATCTTGAGCAACATTGGTAGGCGCTGTGGATAGGGTCGGCCGTTTCAAGTACCCGACGCTGTTAAGAGTTCACAAACGGACAAATGTACAGACAGACAGACCAAAAGTTTTGCATTGAAAATCCCCAAAAAAGACTATCAACTTTTAAAAAAATGCCAATGTAGGCACCGCCGTGAGAGCTTTCCCCTCCAAACACCGTGGCGTCATAGGCTTGGAAGGGGTCTACTGGGCCCTACAACTTTTTTTTTACCAGGATACAAAGTCTGAGAAAATTTCGTCGCACCAATTTCTTAAAACTACGATACATACATTTTGAAATTTTTGACCTTATGTGTGAAATTTTAAAATGAAACTTCAACCTTGATTTTCTTTGCTTATAATGAACTTGTGCTAGTGAAATGTGTGGCATTACAGTTCTCAGAGTGCAGTTTGTCAATCTAAACTAAGTGATTGTTTCTCTTCAGTGTCCCTTTAGCAGGTCATAGCACGAATAATATGTCATGCCCGTCTGGTACATCATGGAACCCTTTCTTTCAGTCACGTGTGGCGCATGCCCACATACTGCAGCCCATGAAACGTGCTGGTGTGCATCACGTGTTTCACAGTATATATGAACCAATGAACAGAGAGAAGATGCCTTGAATATCGGAGCGTCGGGGAAAGTCTGTTGCTGGCGTAAGCGATGCGGTTGATTATGAATAGCGAATTATGATATACGCAAAGACAGAGCCGCACTTTGAACTTAAATCGAACTCAGGCCTTCTATGCGGCAGTCCGGTGTTCTGAAAAACAGCCATGTCAAAGCAACATATCAATTGTGCTGGAAGTTGTCCGCTCTTACAACATTGTAATAAATACTACAAGTGTACTCCTATGACTCTACAAGCCGCAGTAAAAGATTGCACACCTCCTTGAGAAATTACCAACAGCTTATGACGGGAGCATTATCGCACTGCAGCATGCACTTCCTTTCAATAAAAGTGATGTCTGTGTTCTAGCTTGAGTGATAATGTTATGTTGTAAACACGTTAGACTGTTCTTTAGGCGTGTGAGTAGTCATTGACATGCCCGCTGCTACTTAGCTCACACAAGAATGTCGATCAATCTTGTAACACTGATCTCAAAGCTGAAATGTAGCACAGGCAGCTACTCGCCGACTGTTCTTTGCATGAAATCGATCCACCATTTTGATTTTGAAGTTCATTAAACCTGACTAGTGAGTTTGCATGAGCACAATAATGAACCGAGTTGTGACCGCAGTTGTAACCTCGCTGGTAGCACTAGTGAGCTCATCCATGACTACCATACAATACACTGATTTCCGGCCTCCCTTTGCTTTACAGTCAAGTGCTGTGCTTGTTTCTCCAAGAATGTAAGCTAAAAACTGCATGTACAGTAATGCCGCGTTAAGTCAAATTAGCATATCTAAAAAAATCGGCTAAGTCGAAATTTGGCGCCGCACCGAACCTCTTCCCATACGTGCCATGTACATCTTTTACTTTATCTCGAAGTATTTTTGGGTTGGATTGCGGATAACTCGAAGTCTTGAGTGGGAGTGGAACGTCAATTTCGTCTCAGGGCCATTTCACAAGATTAGCGCAATGCTTCACGCATGAAGTCCGTCGATTTTTCTTTCTTATTTAGCCGTGCCTGCCACTACATCGATGCTCTCTGCTAACGAAAAGTCTCAGCCCAGTGACATATCAACTTTGGCAAGCCTCCCTGAGGCACGTCATGTGACACAAGCGCTGAGCAGGGAGGCCCTCTGCCTGTGCTCGGCGTAGTTTGTCTCGTTCATTTGTGCAAATCATGCGGTACGGATTTTTCGCTGAGTGTGAGTGCAGTGCTCATGATATTCCCTGAGGTGTGATTTTCATTCATCTGCACAAACTAAGCGGTGAGATTTTTAGCTGACTGTGAGGAACGGCAACTTAGCGCGAGTGCAGCAAGCATGGCATCAAAGCACTGCAAGTCGCTAATGCTAGAAAAAAAAAAGGTTGCCCTAACTAAGAAAGTGGAGAAATGAGGCTGAACGAAATCAAGCATCGCGCAGGAATTCGGCATCTCTTTTTCTAAGCTTTCGACGGTGCTGAAAAAACAAGCAGAAGGTGTCGGATGGATTTCAGCAGAGCTTCTCAAGCCAGTGGAAGCTGGTTTGAGGGTTGAAGTTTCCAGACGTTTAAGTGGCGTTGATTGTATAGCTTCAAAATAAGGTTTAGTGTAGTGACAGGGAATATCGGCTGATGCTATGCATCAAGCAGCTGGAGGAGGCCTTCCTAGGCCCGAGTATGACTGCAAAGCAGACAAGTATTAGGCAGATTTTGTCAGCTAAACAAAAGTGACAGTGCGGCAAAAGCCAGCCGGTTAAAGTCTCTTGTATGTTATCTTTTTCTCTTTTAAACCTGCATGAGAAGAAAGATTAGAAACTGCAACTGAAAAGGTGGTAAGCAGAAATGATTTTCCTGAAAAACGCTTATTTTCATGGCAATTAGCACAACTTTACTTATCGCAAAGATTGGTTTATCTTGAAATTTTCCAAGTTTTGCGACTTTGAGTTAACGAGGTATTATTGTATATATCTCCCAGGTCCAAAATTCAAACAGCACTCAGTGTTAGGAATGGCCTGCCATAGTTGAGTCTGCATGATTGTAGTTGCTGTCAAACAATCATCATTAATTTCTTTTCTGTAACGTGCATTACAATGCATTTGGAAATCATTTGGCTTGTGCGAATAGGGAATATAACATAACATAACTTTATTTTTCTTAAAGATCTCTACAGGGGGTATTACATGTATAAGACATATAAAGAAAAATGGGCATTATTATTATGACCTAACTAACCTGAAGCAGGACTGATAGTTGGGCTAGTTGGGGATACATTATGGGCAGTACCAGCGCACAAACTCACGGGACGAAGAGAAGAGACAGAAACAAGCGCTGACTCTCAACTCTTGTTGGACATGAGAGTCGGCGCTTGTTTGTGTCTCTTCTCTTCGTCCCCTGAGTTTGTGCGCTGGTACTGCCCATAAACTAACTAACCTGCACAATATTTTTTTATTGAAATAAAGCCTCTATGCAAATGCCTTTTTCTTTTCGTTCAGAGGAAGTTTAAACAACTTTGATTAGTAGCATAATCTGACATTTGGTAGGATGCAAGTGAGAACCTGTAAAATATGTAACATGTTAAAATTTATTATGCATAGAGCATATAAGGCGTCATAACAAACTTTAAGCTTAACAAACGAATGAATTGATTTTAGGGCAGTTGTTCATTTAAAGGAGCCCTTTTTCAAATGGCCATGGAATGGATTCACTAAAAAAGCTTCTAGCCTCACAAATTTACCACCACAAAAATTTTCAGAATCCACCCAGTAAGAGCGGAGTTGACGAGATTTGTCACACGCTGCAATTGTGTTCTCTCTTCTCGTCCCAACGAGAGAGCTGGTAGCTAAGCAGGGAGAGATGGCATGAAGAAAGAAAATACGTCACGCATGCCTCGTCACCCTTGAGAACTTTTTCTCTCTTTTCTTTACAGCGAAAGCTGTTATGAGATCACAACTCGAGTCACGCACAGTTGCCCTCCGCCGCCATCGCCAGTGTCCGTAACCACATTGCGCGAAATTAGAAAAAAAATTCTAGCACCGATGACACCGTGGGGCTCAAACCCAAGTGCAATCCCAGTATTCTAGCACTGAGTTACGCCAGTGCTTGTAACTTGTCAAACTAACCTTAGACAGGCTTGACCTAGCACCAATGACACAGCTGTGCTCGAACCCTTGTTCGTTGGGTGCCAGCCCAATATTTTACCACTGAGCTAAACCGGTGCTTGTGACTTGTTGTCAAACTGTCTTAGGCAGGCTTGACGTCGGGAAAGTAATCGCGTTAATACGATCTATAAAGCGTTTTAAAACAGCGGAAGAACAACCAGTCATCACACAATGTGAATAGAGTAACGAGTGGGCTTTGCAATGCTCCAAACCATTACAAAAGCATGTTCTAGTTCACCTATAGA